GTTGCCTAGGAACTCCTGCGTGTTTGCATTAAGGCATGGAGGCCGATTCCTACACACTTGATTCCTAAACCCCTTAATGGGGGTTCCTATAAAGTACCCTTAGTAGTATAGGGCCCCAAATTAGGGGATGAGCTGCACCAGGCCTTCGGCAGACAAGGCCCAGGCCAATGCACTGCAAACTCTGAAAACCAAGGTGGGTGGTTCATATTCAAGAAGATTTCACAACACAAGAAATGCCGGGAACAGTGACGGAAAGGAACAACCGGATACAACAACAACAGCTACACAGCAACAGCAACCGCAACAGTGACAGCACAGCAGCAACAACAAGAACAACATCACAAGCAACAACAACTGTAATAGCAACGGCGGCAGCTACAGCGACAGCAACATCAACAACCCTAAACCCTAAACAACAGCAAGAGCAACAGTAACAGCTCGACATCGGCGAAAGACAAAGGTCGAAGTCGTCGCACAAATTCGATACTGCACCATTACCACACTACCCTAAGGCCCCAAAGTAGTTCGTCTTTGGGACTACATTACAGGATTCTGTATATGAACCCCAAAAGGGAAATACTTTGGGGCCTATGGGTACTAAGAAGACGACGACTACTACCTCTGCTGCTTCCACTACCACTTCTTCGAGTGTTATTGCTGCCGCTGGTGTTGGTGCCCGCGCTGCTATTGCTGATGCGTCTACTGCTACACATGTACACACACACACACACACACATCTTTGAAAAATGACACTCCTGAAAGCTAAACGCTGAGCATTGGCCAAGCCTGATTGCATACTTCCGTGGCTGAAAACGCCACGAATTCTGGAACTGCTGGATCCTTTAGGCTGTAGGGTTTCGCTATTGTCCATGTACATATACACTGTGTACATTGAAGGCTCCTATATAAGTACTTTTAATCATGAAGAAACCTGGACCTCTCGCCAAGCCCGAATACTGCTCACCTTAAGTACTGGGTTCCCATGCCATAACCACACAGGCTTTTAGGCAGGGTTTAGATTCTGTGATGCCCAGCTTTATAACTTTTCTAGCAGTTCTGGGCTCTGCAAACAAGCCCGACCGCTTCGCCCCCCTTGTATAATGAGCGGGCTACATCTACAGTTGCTACACTAGGTCACTAGGATCAGGGATGGACGAAGGTATACTTTCAGCATTCAGCGCAATGCGAAAAGCGGGTAAGACGGTCCAGGTTTAGGGTTGTGCAAGCCATATCTTCCCAGACCCTCATAAAATCTCTCAATTCCGTGAAAACTCTTCCCAAAACTCGAAATCCTCACCTCGATAACTGGAATAGGGTTTGGGGGCAATTATGTTATGACCATGATAAGGGATTATGAGCGGACACTCATGTGTAATTATTCCGACTTCTTGCTACGTGAGCCAGACAACCAAGTTCTGAAATCCAGTAGCGTGTTTAGGCCTTGTAACCCCAAAGCCTCTTTGAAGAATGGTCTTCTTTGGGCCCCTAAACCTGAAACAAGAGTTCCCTAGAGACTTGGAGTAAGAAACCGGGCTTTGGATGTGGTTATGCTTTTGTCAACGGAGAACCCGGGCTCGTTCACCAGTTCAAATCTCTAAATCTCGAATGCGTTGAGCTTTGAGGCTGAAAGTTTCCCAGGGGAACCAGAGCCTGACAAGAAGCCTCCCTGCATCCCTGCTGTAGAGCCTCTATCGTAAGCTCCAAAAGACTAGAAAATCTCAATCTAAGCCCGGCCTATCTGAACCCTGCAAAACCCTACCTTTTTGGGGTTCCTTGTTATGATATCCGTATACAAAATCACAAAACAGGTAGGTTGCTTGGGGTTAAGGAAGAACCTGAACCCTACAACTTGAACCCCTCGTCGTCAAAGTTCCAGGCAAGCCGCAACTTTGCCCCGCAGGATACCGCGACGCCCTTAGGCGCCGCCACTGCTGTCAGAGGCAAAGCTCAGCTTGAGACACAGGCGAAGGGTCAAGCCAAGAGAGAGGGCGCGCCAAACCTTGAACCCTCAACGCTGAACCTGAAAACCCCAAAGACCTCTTACACACCTATACCCAGAGGCCCCATAGTAGGTCCTTTTTGGGATTACCTCATAAGATTCCAAATATGAACCCCAAAAAGGAACTACTTTGGGGCCTCAGCGGAAACACCTACAAAACCCGGAAGCACTTTCCAGAACATATCTGAGATGCAGTTCGGGGGCTGTAGGGCTCCTTCAAGTCGCTATAAGGGTACCATGCTGGTTTCAGGTTACAGTAGAAGCCAGAATGTTGGAACATCCCGATCCTCATGCCCTTAAAGTAAAGTATAAGGGAACCTAGCACTAATCATCCTAAATCCATCTTCCAAGTTTCTGGGGTTCGCTGTAAGTAGTTTCGGTCCTGGGGTTCCAGGGTCTTGGACTTAGGGGGTTTTGACCATTGCGACTTTGGTTACCTACTGCTACTGTTGATGATAAAAATCCTGCATGACCCATAATAAGGAATATACCATAATTCCCATAGTTTAGGGTCCTCAAGGTAATGCAGGATTTATATCATCAGCCGTAGCACCAGTCGCTTCTCTTGTTGAAGAGACTGGTCGCTTCGTCGAACTTCTCCCAGTGCAACTAGGAAGGCTGATGCTTGTCTTCTTCGTTCCGGGGGCATTAGCTAACTTGCAAAGACACAGATTAGCGGTAACACCCTGACTTTTTTTGCACCGTTTTCTTTATTGACGGTTTTGGTTGTATCTAGAATAGAAGTACCAACTACACCCCCAAAGCTAGCACCAACATTCGCAGTGAAAAGTCTCGCCAAGCCCTAACCCTAAACCCTAAACCCTAAACCCTAAACCCTAACATCAACTCGCAAAAACAAGACCTGACCAGTCGAGCAGTCGAACAACTAAGCTCAAAAGGGAAAAGGAGGGACCCTTAATTTAGGGCTCTTAGGGTTCCTTTAAAGGGATCTATAAGGGTTTAGGGTTTAGGGGAAAAGGAGGGACCCTTAATGGGGACCCCTAGCCTATAATGGGCTATATAATGGGTATATAATAGCTATATTAAGGGTATATACCTAGGGGTCCTGCTTAAGGGTCCCTCCTTTTGCCCTTGGATAAGCAACTAACTCTAGCCCCAAGGTCCAAGTACCTAATCATATACTCTCCGAGATAGGAACCTACGTAACTACTATCCTAAACCCCAGTACCGAATTATTGGGTCCTTTTGGGTAAATCCCAAAGCCATGTCCATAAGTCCTATACCCGATTCGCTTAGTAGGCAGGCGCCCTCGCAGACTTATCCCATTCACTAGAGCACACATCTCTTGAACGGCTGGAGACCTGGCTCCGACCAGACTTCGCAGCAACTGGTGGTTACTATGAGCTTTCCAGTAAGGGTTCCATAAGTTTACGGTTTAGGGTTCTGGAAAAGTTGCTAGAAGGCAACTGCAATGCCTTCATAAGTGCTACAATGCTGCACAGTGCTGCAATGCTACAGTACCAAGTTCTGCAAGGGTCCCACCAGCAACTACCTATCTCGGCGGCCAAAGTATATACGATATAGGCACAGGAGCCTCGCGGGGTAGGGCTTTCTGATTGGCGTTAACTGGGGCGTTCCATGCACTATTTGGGTTCGCGAAGATGTCCGCAGTGTTTTCTGATAGGCCCTAAATCATGTTCTTCTTAAAGCTGGAACAGGATTTTGAAGTTTGTTGCCGTAGACTGTTACTGGGGTCATGCAGTGGTTTTTGGATCTAAGTCACGGAAAACAGCCTCTTACTATACTCTGTATAGGCCGAATGTACTACGCCACAAGTCGTGTCTGCCAGCAGCCCGAGCTATGTGTTGCTCCAAGCCAGGCTTTTAAACAAGCAGTTGCAATGCTTCACACATCCAGTCAAACTGTGTTGGGGACATCGTCTTGACATTCTTCTTACGAGTACCAATGATTAGTTTCTGCTTTTTGTGGAATATGATGCCGCCTGTCGTCTGTTCCATGCGTCTAGTTGGTCCCCTTGCCGCAGCGGGACATGATGCACACCACTCTTGGTACGGAGATGACTGTCGATGCGAAGGAGAAGTGTAAGCGACGAGGCCCATCATGAATCATGAGTGTGGTTGTCAAAATTCTGGTCCCATTTTGGGTACCCTAAATAGTAGGTGCCGTATCATGATAAGAACCCGAAAGAGGGACCCTAATTTTGACAACCACCCATGAGTGTATGATGATCATGGTGGCGAGGTTGATTCAGGCTCTTAGGTGTGGCGGCCCTGGAACTCAGAGACTCCAAAACCCCTTAATTAAGGAATATGCCTTAAATCATATTAAAATCCCCCTACCCCTGATTAAGGGGTTTTGGAGTCTCTGGGAACTCACGATGATGCCGGATGCGCGGGTTTAGGACTCCGGGCTCGGGGAGCAAGGGTTGAGAGATGAGGGACTCTAGGGTTGAGCGTGCGCATATGAGAGTTTCCGAAAAAGGGATCCTTTAGGGGTTCCTTAAAGGGATCTATAGGGGTTCTATAAAGGGTTTAGGGTTTGGAGAGTTTCCGAAAATTAGGGGTACCTTTATTGGGGTCCTTATAATAAGGATCCTACTTTTTAGGGTCCAAAATTGGGGTCCTCGAATTTCGGAAACTCCCATATGGTTCCCCTCCACCCTCCAATCCTCTTTTCAATCGCGAAACCCGCCGCGAAAACAATGCTTCTACAGCCACTATCAGCCACTAATCCAAACCCTAAACCCTAACCCCGACCCCCTACAATCCCAAACCTACACACCCAATCCTTTGTAGAACCTATCGAGCCCATCTAAGGACTTTATCTTCGAACCGGAAACCAAACCCTTAAACGGTAAACTTCAACACCTTAACCCATACAAGCCACTTACAAACATCGCAAAAGCGTATGAACCCCCAAAGCTCTCCATGGCTCTTGGAGGATCTAAACCTCAATCTCCACTAAGACCTCTACATACCGCAATCCGAATGCCGCCGTCTCCGGATGTGTGAGAGATTGCTCAAGAGCAGCAGGAAGTCAGCCAGCAGCCTTCCACCTTCCGCTAAGGTTGAGTTACTATAGTAAGCTCTAGAAGTGTTATTGTAAGGGTTAAACCCTAGCCCATAACCCTTGAAACGTTAAACCTTAAACGCCTAACCCTTAAAACCCTAAACCTTCCCATAAGGGCTACTACAAGGGTTACTATAGGGACTTAGAGTTTAGGCTTCAGGGTTAAGGGCTACGGACTCTGTCACGAAAGGTAATCCAGCGGCCTTAATAATTAGAATAGGCTTTGGGGCTCATTATACTTTTCGGTGTTGAGAAGCTTTAGTCTGGGCTTAGGTTTCAGTGTACTTGGTATTGAGATCTCCTTTTCATAGCCGAGTCTCGTTGTCAAGGCCGCTATTATCAGCTTCAGCTTTCGGGATTGCGGGGCGGAGGCTTCAGGTGTTTGCCCTGGGCATTTACGGACAATGCAAGCCTCAACAATGAAGGAATCACGAGCACTGACCGTGGTTCTCGTTACCGCATGACCCTTCGATGCGCTGCTCAGAATGGCCATCATCAGCGCGATCGAATCGCGGCAGTTGTAGTGATGGTATGATGTTGATCCTGCCGATGATGGCGAACATCCTACAACTGGATCCATGAAATCAAAACATCGTGCTTGATACTAAAACCCAAATTAGTCTCAGTACTAACTAACAAGCTTGCATAAACAACAACAGAAGTGACAATACAGGAACCAACCATAGACATGACAACAACAATCACAATAGTCACAGTAGAATATTAGCAATGAGAGCAAAAATGTTGACAACATTGAAATGAATAAGAACTGTAATCATAACTATAACATGGTTGTAACAACAGTCATTATCAGCCTGGTGGAAAATACGAGTCTCAGATGAACAAAAACACACATAGATACGTGTATAAATATTGGCACAGGTGTTTATGTAAGCATGTACTCACGCATGTGAACACTTGCCAGTATGTATGCGTGCACAATATAAAGTGTGCCTACATAGGTATTGTGAATACCCTAGACGCGTAACCGAAAGCCCAAGACTGTAGACCCATAACCAGAAACTTTAGACCCCAGCACCCTAAACCTCCAACCTGAAATCCTAAACCCTAACTGAACCCAAATCCCCAAACTCAAGCTCTTAATCCTGACACCCTAACCCCGAAACTGTGCGTCCCAGGCACTGGCATCCTTCCGGGCTCAATCACTGGAAAGACGTCCTGCGCGGTTTGGGGTCATGAGGTTTAGGGTTTAGGGGCTTAGGGTTTAGGGATTTAGGGTTTAGGGTTCGAGAGGCCGCTACGAGAGGGTTCTATATGACGGCAAAGAGGTTTGAGACGTAGGAATTCAAGGCTTGAGATGATTTAACCCTGAACCCACCAGGGACTGCAAACCCCCTTCATTAAGAAACGTAGCTTGCACCCGTATATGGATCCCTTTACGGTATGCTTTGGCCACTACCTTCATGCCCTTGCGTGAAGGCCCGAACGACCGAAACTGTCAAACTAAACGCCCGAATCCCAGGACCCTTAAGCCGTATACCCTAACTGCGGACCTCTTGCCCCTGGTCGTGCCCGCCAAGGTTTACGGGCGAATAAATGTTTAAGGTTCCTGACAACTCTTTGCTGATAATAGGCTTTTGTAGGGTTGGCTATGATCCAAGTATGCGCTTGTCTCATTGTTGGTTAACGACAAGTCTCAAGTAGTAGTGAGCGGTATGCAAACTCCCATTACAGCAATGCTTCCGATAGTTTTTTCCGAAGCACCAAAGGGCTTGGGGTGTAAGCACCCAAATCCCGGAACCCTCAAGGTTGAAACCCTAAACCTTACACAAAGTTCAGGATTTAACAGCCCCTTGGATTGATATGCAATATGTAACCGGCGTTGGGGGATACTGTTGAGAGTACCAGTTCTGTCTGTTAACGTCCCTGAGAGTAAGTCATCCTGACACTGAAACCCTAAACCAGCAGGAAACCAAACATCAGCCCGAAGCTCCAAATTCTAAACCACCTTCAGCCCTAAACGCAAAACTCCCGCAGCGGTCCATGCTCGCCGGCGCATCCACAACTGGAGGATCCGGGAGTTGTTCCTGCAGCAAACCGTATAAAACCCGAAATTAGGGGCATCAGGGTGAGTACATAGTCTTGTTTTTTATGCGCAATAAAAACTGTGTTGTCGTATAGAAACACAGAGAGAGAGAGAGAGAGAGAGAGAGAGAGAGAGAGCGAGAGAGAGAGAGAGGGAGGGAGAGAAGGATACTGGGAGAGAGCAAGAGCGGAAGAGAGGGAGAGGGAGAGGGAGAGGGAGAGAGGCAAAGGGAGAGGGAGATGGAGAGGGCGAGCGAGGCGAGGAGGGATGCTCGGAAAGCTGGCAAATAATTTTGGAGCTGCCGGACCCTACCAGGAATATCATAAGAAATCTGAGACCCGGCCATCCGACCCTACGCTGCCTTACATAAACGCGAAGCTTGGCCCCTTTGTGTAAACAATGGTTTTTTGGGCACGTGGAACCTAAATAAAGTGTAGGCCGAAGATTCTAACTCAAAGACTCTTAGGGTGAGTTGTGTCTTGATGCACTTTGGAAAGTAGTCGTCGCTACCATGAATGGAAGGATGCCGTACCGGCATGGCTTTTGTTGCTTAACAGGTGAAGTGTTGTGCTGCACAAAGACCAGCAAGTACTGGCTGAACTCAATATTTTCGGCACGCTGCCGACGGTTCGTTGATGCCCGCTTCGGGCTCAATTGAGCAGTTGCCAGCTATTTGGACTTCGAAGTGCAAAGCAAGTGTCTCGGATTCGTGATGTTCATTCGTTGTATCTTGCAAGGGTACCTCCATGACTTCGGATGAGCATGCGATGCGTGGCTGAGACTTAGTCGTGGGAACGGCTTGCTTGTATGCACGAGGCTCCTTGTCTAATGAAAGACCGGATGGCGACTTCCAACAAGAATCAGTGAACTCCACGACGTTGCCTAGGTTCACACAGACCTTCGTACAGCACGCTGTCCCCATTGAAAACAAAAACCAACCTGCATTCAAGTGCCATACACAGGGTGACCCATTCAACCATCAAGGGTATCGTCGGTAAACCTCTTATGAAGCTTAAACCCGAGAGACAACAGCATCAAGCAACAATGATGCAGGACTGCACCGCACCCTCACGTTTTCTGGTGTCAGTAGAACCGTTTTTAATGCAAAGGAACACACAGTGAATAATGCTGTGTACGTGCACGTGTGAGTACACACATATCGTCATGCGCAAAGTCCGAAGAAATAGAATGACCTGCTGATTTGTGCGGGACAGCCTGGCAGAAACTGGGAAGCGCATAGGAGCAGTAGGAGCGACACAGAAACATCTCAATCAAAGCCTACATGAAGTTCTTTGAGAAGGAGCCTACCGTGATTTACCAGATGTTCTGAATGTGGAGGTATGCACACGCGGCTCCGGAATTTGCCGCTAGGTCTTGAGAAGATGCAGTTGCAGCAAACGATGCGAAAGCTGAACCTGTTAGGAAAATCAGAACCTTAAACAACATGCTAACAGCTGAAAGACGATTCGTGTGCAGATGCAGACAAAAAACCCTAAACCCTAATAATTAGCCCAACAACCCAAAACCTTCATTTCGCACAGTAGCTTGCGTTTAAACGCTGCGGTGCAAGGCCCAGAACTTCGCGGTCAAGGCCCAAAGATTGGGGGCAATGGCAGGGCGCTCTCGGGAAACTTGGGCTGCCGCTTTCCCAAATCCCTAAACCCCAAAACGCAGGAAGTCTTTGGTTTTTTCGAGGCACGCAAAGCCCCGTTCGGCACAATTGTCTTGGCAGGGTACTGCGACAGCTCACCCGAGGGGGAGCACCGGGCAAGCCGGAGTTCTCTTCCTCCTTTGTTGATGAGCTTCTGAGGTTCTCTGAAACTACCTATAGTCTCCATTGTAGTTCCTTTTTTGGGTTGCCATATAGGATCCTTAATATATATATATATATATATATATATATTGGGTTAAACCAAAAAAGGAACTACAATGGAGACTATAGGTAGTGAAGATATGCAGCTGCGAGAATTGCAAAGCATAGTGCCGCACAGACGAAGGCCGACATTTGTTCATACATGCGCACACACAGACACACCCGCATACATGCACACCCCCTATTTACCTACACACCCACCCATCTACCTACAACCATAGATACATGCATAGTTACATGCAGGCATACATAGATTGACGTAAACACGTACATTTCAATATGCATGACGATGCAATGCAAAGCGCTTCAGTGCAACAACATGGTTTAAAAGGACATCACGAGCGTTTAAGAGCAGGAGAGCGGGGGAGTCCACACATCGGGGTTTGTGACCTATGAGTTTCGAGCGCCACAATTCTGCGACACCCAGGAACTTGAAGCCCCACCTACTTGGAGGTTCATAGGTAGTTGTACTTAGTAACTTAGGGCTTATACGTCCCGTGACATAGGCACTGGTTGTGATTCTCCTACCTGTAAACCCTATGTATAACTACCCATGAACCACCACTTAACCCTTGTTCAGCTCCAAGCACTACAACGCCAAAGCCCTGCCAGACCCCTGAAGCCTTGCCACATTGTAAATCAGGTAAGACCCCTCAAAACCTGAGAAGGAGGATACACTCTCAATCTAACTTTCGTAAAAATACGAAGAGAGCCTACAGTCCGCATACAGCCCTGATGGACCGTTGCAAGACTCAGCACACCGGCAAAAAAACATGGCGAAAACAAGACAACTCATCAACACCCTCAGCCTAAAGCCTACCCTAACCCCAAATAACCTACCTTTTAGGGACTCACATAAAGAAATCATAGTCTATGATTTCTTTATGTGAGTCCCTTAGTAGGGAACCCTAAAAGGTAAACCCTACAAGCAAATTCAGTTGACGGCCTTGAGCTCCTCCTTCAATTCGTCCTTTTCCAGGCAGCCAAGCTCCGGAGGGTATATTGTTGGTCTTTCGGCTTTTCCCTAAGGGTCCATGTACCCATATAGAGGTACATGAGCCCCAAAGTACCTATATAGGGACTACATTAAGGACAATGTATATACTATATGATTATATGAGTACATGGACCCTTAGGGTTTTGTGGGCTTTGAAACCTTCCTTGTTCATACGACGTTTATATGGGCTCCGTCAGGTGTTGCAAGGGGGGTAGCGTTTGGGATTCCAGCTGGTGGTGTACGTTCCCTGGCTCGGGGTGTAGGTTTAGGACTTTGTGCCAAAACCCTGAATTAATGAAACTGTAGAACGAGGGGTGAACCCTAAAGCAAAAGCCCCATACCTGCCCAGCCTGCCCAATCTCCCATGGGATCCAGATAAGAGCTTTGTAGAAGCCTTCAATTTCAGGCAGAAAGAAGCCTCAAGCCTAAATCGCATACTGTAGACCCCAGAAGGCTGCAAGACCTAAGCAGAAAGTGCAGGTTGGGATATGCCATAATCACAAGTCCAAGTAAAGCAAGGAAGAAGAGGGGAACCTCTAAACAGTCTAGCAACCAACAATACAGGTGTAGGTTCTGAAGTTTACTATGTAGGGCCTGCCTTAACCCCAAATAACCTACCTTTTTAAGGACTTATATAAAGAAATCATAATAAGGAACCCTAAAAAGGTAGGCTATTTGGGGCTAAGGTGTGCCTTCAACTTACAAATTCATGGTCGGGCCTTCACCTTCTCTTTCACTTCCTCGACCACGGCATCCTTCACTTCGGTCAAGATGTCGCCCTGCAACAGGTTAGCGGCCTTTAAGGCTTGGAGGGTTGATAGGGTCTACGTATCCTTAAGCCATAAGCTGCCCAAAGACTGCACCATACAATTCTGGGGCCTCTGGTCCATGTTGAGGGGGTTACGTACAGGGCTTCGGGTTTAAGCTTTTGGGATTAGGGTTTTGGGGCCTTTTAGGGTTTACCTTGTCGTTCCAGAATTGGCACCTTCAGGACACTGACGACGAATTCAGAGCATGGGAATGTCACAAAACCATATGCAGTCGCAACAAGATAGGTACGCCGAGGCCCTTGCCACATATACAACAAAAACAAGACCAGCGAAACGGCAAATCTCCCGAATTCCGTAACCCTAAACCCTAAACCCCAAACCCTAAACCCTAAACCCTAGTGAGCCGCTAAACCGTTGCTGGCGCCTCAGCTTGTGGAGGGCGTTCGGCCTCTCAGTCTACTTGGGCTCGGGAGTTTGTTTGTTCCTGAGGGTTTGGCATATTGAAAGTTTACGATTTATAGGATTTAGGGTTGTTAGGGTTGTAAGGTGTTATTGGGTTTAGGATTTAGGGTTTATATGGGTATAGGACGGGGGATTTGGGGTTTAAAGGTTCGTATGGGCTTGTGATATAGCGTTTAGGGAGTTAGGGTTTAAGGTTAAGGATTTGGGGTCAGCTGTTTAAGGTATAGGATTCAGTGCTTACGTATCCTGTCTGGGTTTGTGACCTAGGATTTGGGAGCCAGGATCTCACGGTTGATGATATAAATTCTGCACTACCTATTAAGGATCCTAAACTATTCCTTAGTATGGTTGATGCAGGTTTTTTGTATCATCAACCGAAGGATTAGGGGTTCGGGTTCTAGAGTCGATATAAGAAGTTTCGCGACCTACGGCTTAAGAGTTTAGACACCAGGGTCCAGGGTTAGGGTCTCGGGCTAGGTCTTTCCTCTATGAGTTGAGGGTTTGGGGCTTGGAGCTTCAGGCATTCCTGCAAAAACCGACGTAATGTTGAAATGAAAGGAACTCCATGCCAAGGCAGCCAGCTGACCACGCTTGCCCGTACCGGGCACCCGGAGCTCAAACTCCAAACCCGAAACCCGAACTCACTATGATAGAGGACAGAAAACTCTCCAAATGATCCCCTATCACAAAGATACTACAATGTGGTGCAAAACCCCATTCCAATCACTGAGGCCCCGATTATGTTGGGAGCATTCCCGCAGGAATAAACCAAACCTTGAAGAACGTCCCCGGGATCCATCTTCCAAGTCGTTCCGATCAGAATCAGTGTTTCGGGCATTTGAGGTTTGGTGATTGGTCTACTGTGCGGTATATATGCCAAGGAAATCTGCGGAAGACTCGTTCGTAAATCTATCTATCTCCGTGTGCAAGAGCATGAGGGCAACCCCCCCACCCGGTTGAAATACTAAAAAGCGTAAAGAAAGGCTTACAACTCTTAGGCCGCACTAGGCCGTTGGGGTACAGTATGGCAGACTTGCATATGGACTGTGGGGGCGGTTCGTTCGAACCCTGAGCAGCAAAAAAAAGTCCACATCCCTGCTTATCCATCTGTCATTTCGATACTCAAAATCCTGCTAAGCTGAGGGCCGTGAGCCTGAATCCACAACCCACGCAAGAACGAACTGAACCCTAAACTAGCCTTGAGACCTTCCTAAGGCATTCGGCACCCTTAACACTGAAACCCTAAAACCCAACCCTCGACCTGCTTTACAAAGCCCTACCGGAAGCTTATATAGAGCCATACGACATTCAAAACACTTCCTAAACCCTAAACAATGAACCATACATTCCAAATCCTGAACCCTAAACTCTACAAAAAGTCGTAAACCCTGAAAAGGCTGTAACTCCAGGCCTCGTCTCGGGTAGTTGGTGCAGCCGGAGCCTCGCCAACAGAGGTTCACGGGCAGGGGACTCAAGAATGCAAGCATAGAAGTAAGGTTTTTTTTTAAAAAAAAGGGTTCCTTAAAGGTGTCTATAAGGGTTGCTAAATGGACTACGAGAAGGGCTCGTGAGAGTCGAGGGGCCAGGCTATACTACCTGTGGTCTCCATGGTAAATCCTTTTTTGGCTGTGCCAGTATTATAGTTAAAATCCTAGGACTACTACAAGGTAGGCCCCAAAAGGAAGTAGAGACTATAGGTATCTTACATCGGGTCACAAGTATCTTTAAATTCGAGTTACATTACTTATAATCCTACATTGGCAAGTGCACGAGCCTTCAAGCAAAACCTGTCGAATAAACGCCCTATGGCAACCTTTCCTTTCAGTACGCCTGGTCCGCTTTCGTCTCCACAACCCCAGGTGCTTCCAGGAGGGTCCCGCCCTGCCTCAGCGTAATTAGCAGGCTTTCGGGCTTCGGGGCGGAGGGTGTAGGGCTTGGGACCTGAGCCCGAAACCCTAGTCGGCTGTATGGTAGGATTTGTAAGCTTATGCTCCAGGTTTCAGGGAACCATGCATGGGGCGCTCCGGACCATAGCTTGAGGTTCATGAGTTGTTACAAGTGGAGCTACAAGTCCCCGAACACAGGTTATGACTAGAGCTATCCTACTTATAACCCTACTTATAACTGCCCATGAACATTAAACCCTGAACCCTTATAGAGTCCCTATAGATCCCTTGCAAGGACCCCTATAAACCCCTACTTATCGCTACCCGTGAACCTTCAAGTAGGATTCAGGAGGCGCCCTCTGGGTCACGAGGCTTTAATGTCTATCTAGGGCTTAGGGTTTAGGGTTGACCAACTTCCTCACAAGAGTCATCTGCAAGCGCCGAGCAAACAGAGTAGCTAGACCAGTCCAGTCATGTAAGCCTCAAATATCTAGCAGCACTATCTAGTAGTGTCTTACCCTAGGGCTCCCAGTATGCAGATAGCACCTACTTTGGGCTCTAAAGGTTCTATGAATAGCATCTACTTCGGGCTGTTCGGAGCCCACTGTTAGGTGCGGAAAGTATCAGCCTGAAGGTACCCAGACCCCCGGGAGGATCATGGGACTTAGTAGGGTTCCTTAAAGGGCTCCTTTATGGGATCCTTTAGGGTTTAGGGTTTAGGGATCCATAAAAAAGTAGATCCCCTAATTCGGGGCCCTATACTGCTAAGGGTACTTCATAGGAACCCCCATTAAGAAACCCTAAACCCTAAACCCTGAAATAAGCCTAAACCCTAAACCCCCACAAAGGAATCTACTGTTTGAATCCTCCTCAAGGGGGTCTGGGTCAGGGTTACCGGTCCAGGTTAGATCCGAAAAGGAGCATGGATAGAAGAGCCAAGCAGCTGCTGCTGCTTCGTCTGGACCTGGGCTGGAGGAGCTTCGAACAATGATCCCTAATTTTTACGGCTGCCATGCGCACGAGAGTTTGCGAACATGCCTTTTTAAACAAGCTCGGTTGCGCGTCGGCACAGACGAGAGGATCACCAATTTAGGGTTACATAAGAGGTTTAGGGGTTTAGGGTTTAATTAGGGGCTATAGCATCCAGGGATCTTTAAGCGGGTTTCTCGGGTGTTAGGGTCGAAGGGGGCTCGTGTCGCAAGATGTGGGGTCTCAATGGTACACTTCTCGGTCGAGCCGTCGCCACCTGTTGCGTGTTGCTGGTCGCCATGACCAACCAGAAGAGCTCGAGACACTAACCTCATTCATAAACCCGGAGACACTTCAACGGTGAACCATAAAGCATATATAACCACCCTCTCTACCCCAAAGCCTAGATCCCTAAACCACAAAACCTATTGCCCCTGAACCCTAAAGCCCCATAAACCCCCAAACCCTATACACCCTAAACTCCAAGCCCCTAAACCCTAAACTAGGTTGGCCCTTTAAAGCCTCTGAAAAATATTCGTAAATAGGGTCCTATTAAGCCCAATAAGGGAAAATATAAAATGTCCCAAAGGCCTACCTAGTAAAAAATTGAAACCCCTGAACCCTCAGCCCTCTCGAGTCCCAACGCCCTCAATCCGAGATCGACAGCACAAAAGCTGTATAGCCGATCCCAAGTCTTCTTGTCTCATGGATTTTTTTTAAAAAGGTAAAACTGTATGATATCTCTCTATATATTAATATCTATATATGTATGTATGAAAATGTGTGTGTGCATACTCTCTCTCTCTCTCTGTGCGTGTACGCGTGTGTTGGAAGGCCTCATGAGGTTACAGGGGGGACTCTGCGAGATCTCATCAGGTTCTACTTTTGGTTGACAGTAGGGCTTCGGATTCCGGGGCACCCCTGGTCTAAACATGGCTAAGTCCGCGTCCCCGGCAACCCACGACCCTCTGTACCGGGTAGAGTTTGGCATGATAAACTTAAGACTCTACCCAGACCCCCGGGAGGATCCAACACTTAGATCCCTTGATGGGGGTTCCTATAAAGTGCCCTTAATAGTATCGAGCCCCAAATTAGGGGATCTACTTTCTAGATCCTCCCGGGGGTCTGGGTATGCAAGCTTCCCTTACAAGGAACCCTAACCACAAGTAATAGGGTTGATGATATAAAACCTGCATTACCCATAATAAGGAATATACCACAATTCGCATAGTTTAGGGTCCTTGAGGCAATGCAGGATTTATATCATCAACCGTAGGACCTTGAGACTGTCCCCATTAAGCGACCCATCCTCCATGGACTCAAGTCGCAAACCCCAATCGCTCAGTAGCAAGCCCTCAACCCCAAACCCTAAACCCGTAAACCTCTAAACCCCTGAACCCTATTCCCTAAACCCCTAAACCCCCGCAAACCCCATAATCCCGAGAAGCCCAATACCCAAAGCCGAGGCACGGCCTTACTTGCTTTGCAGCCCATGACTTCGGGGCGAAGGGAAGGACGGTGGAAAGCGCGCAGAGATGGATGCGAAAATGGCTGCGCGAAAGCCCAGACTGCCAGGAATGTAATCCTAAGGGTCCATGTACCAAAATAGAGATCCTTTAAAGAGTTCTACGAGGCCTCTATGGATGGGGTTTAGGGTTTAAGGGTACATGTACCCAAATGGTATATACTTTGGCCTTACATACTCCTTACTTAGGTAGCTTGGGGCCAAAGTATATACGATTTGGGTACATGGACCCTTGGGGTTAGGACTTCGAAAGATCGTTTAGACTGGAAGTGAAGTCGGAGGGCTGCGCATCTAGGGGACAGGCATGAATAGGATTCAGGGGCTCGGGCGTGCAGGTTTGAGGGTGCGAGGTTCAGGGTTTAGGTTTACTGGGGTCTAAGCACTAGTGATACTTGCGTCCTGATCATGTTTCATGGTCAGTTGCACGTATTACAAGGAAGAGTTCTCGCAAGACATGACATGGATGGCTTTGGATGCTAATGCTTTACTTGGAAGCACACAACGGCTTTATACGGCCGACACAGAACGACTAGGGTTTCCGGGTGCTGCCCCAGAACTTCACGTAATAGGCAGGAAGGTACAGATTCTCGATCCATGTGCCCAAATAGTATATACTTTGGCCATAAATTCCCTACATCGGAACTTTGGGCCGTATATACTATTTGGGTACTGTGAACGGACCCTGAAGGCGGAGCACCGTTTTGCAAATCGACTCAGAAGCTTGCTGGCTTGCATATTAGATGTGGCATCTCCGCCCACAAGCCTGCGTTCTGTTTCCTCCGCTGAACCCTAAACTGCCTAAACGCTAGACTCTAGACCATAGTCCTTTAAATTAAACCTTGAAAGAACCTTGTCCTAGACCCTAATCCCTGAAAACCTATGTAACCCAAACCCTAAACCCTAGACGCTAAACTCGAAACCAACACAGACCTGATGGACTTGGCACAACAACAAAGAAAGCGTTGACCTGGGAGTTCATAAGCCCCCCAAAAGTGTACACTTTCAGCTTTATAGTGGGTAGTATTATCCCAAAACATGTGAAGTGTATCCATTCAGCTACTAAGGAAACGAAAGGCTCCCTGCTTCTGGAGCTCTATGCTTCGAGTACGAGGGTCGGTACATAATCTTCGTGCTCCGTGTACCTATATAGAGTACAGGGGCTTTAGAGCGTTGAATGCTGGGTGGGTTATAGTACACTTACATAAGGACTGTACGAGGATAACTAGGGAATATCTGACACTAGTACTAGCTATACATACATACGTAACTTACTTATTTGCATACTACATGAACCAGGTTGGAATAGACTACACTACGTTACATTAATTGGTCAATCGGTTCAGAACGCAGCTGGTGGACCAAGCCTGAAAACATTACCTTTGGTTAGTAGGGAATGGAAGAATGGCAGTACTAGTAAATATGATTATACCCCATTCCTCCGATCCCTACTACAGGGCTCCCTGTGTTGCCTTTCTAAAGATCGCTTTAGGTAGTTAATTTTTTCAAGCAGGTTTCTGTGGAATTATCCTCCCTGGTTCTGTCTCTCTGTATCTCAGACCTTCTGTCCCTCTCCTGGCCTCCCCTCGTGTCACGCTCTCTCTCTCACTCTGTGTGTCTCTCTCTCTCTCTCTCTTTCTCTCTCTCTCTCTCTCTCTCTCTCTCTCTCTCTCTCTCTCTTTCCCTCTCTTTCTCTCTCTTTGTCTCTCTTGCGGCCTGAGGTAGTTAATTTTTTTCAAGTAGGTTTCTGTGGAATTCTCCCTGGTTCTGTCCTTCTGTCTCCTGCTGTCTCTCTCCTAGCCTCCCCTCCCGACACCTCGCCAACGGTGTCACGCTCTCTCTCTCTCCCTGTGGCTCTCTCTCTCTCTCTCTCTCTTTCTCTCTTTCCTTCTCTTTGTCTCTCTTGCGGCCTCCCCTGCAGTCTGAAGGCACTGTGCAGCCCTCGCCCTTCCACCCCAAGTGGGCGACAGAGCACTGGCGCTGTCCCCGCTCGGCAACATGCACCCCTGTGTGACCGCCGGCCGCACGGTCAGGGGGAGAGGATTGTCGAAACGGGTGAGCACAGGATCCTGCCCAGCAGACGCATTAGCCCATGTGCTCTGCTGTCATCCACCGAAGTGGGTTGGCCAGAAGCAGGAACGTATGGCACTTCAGTCCCGACACCCGGCCAACGGTGTCTCGCATGTTCTGCGTGGGTAAGGACAACGACAAAGCAAGCAAGGTCAAGCTCATGCCAAGAACAAACATGCCATGCCAATCGACAAGTCAACGCAAGTCTCTCTCGCTCTCTCTCTCACTCTGTGGCTCTCTCTCTCTCTCTCTCTCTCTCTATCTCTCTCTCTCTCTCTCTCTCGTTCCCTCTAGTTCCCTCTCTTTCTCTCTCTCTCTCTCTCTCTCTCTCTCTCTCTCTCTCTCTCTCTCTCTCTCTCTCTCTCTCTCTCTCTCTCTCTCTCTCTCTCTCTCTCTCTCTCTCTCTCTCTCCATCTCCGTAGCTCTGTCGCTGTCTGTCCATGTCGCTCTCTTGCTTGCAGTCGTGCTGTTTGTCTCTCCGTCCATAGTAGCTCCTCGTTGGGATTGCCTTATAGGATATTGGTCCTCTCCCCGTCTTATCTCTTGTAGTCATGCTGTCTATCACCTTCTTCAGGCGCTTACTAAGCCGTGCTGCCTCTTAGATTATCACCTTTTTCAGGCGCTGACCCTGGCTGTTTATCACCTTGTTCAGGCGAAGCCCCCACCGGAGTGCGCTGGGTCGGAGATGACAACCTTGCGCCAGCTTCACTGTCACCCGCAGAACGGTTCAACACTGCAGACCGACTGCTTGCAGACACCAGGTGCCTGTTTGTGTGGCGCCCCGCCGGAGTGCACTGGGTCGAAGATGACAACCTTGCGCCAGCTTCACTGTCAGCTGCACAAAACACTGCAGACCGACTGCAGACACCAAATCAAGACGCAGGTCCAAAGCTATTTGGTCTGCCCTCGCACTCGCACGACTGCCTATGGCACGGCCTGTTTGTATGGCCGCCACACAACAAAACACTTAGCGAAACTCCAGCTCCGAGAACGACTCAGGCTCTGTGACGGACCGATGATCATGAAAACTGCACATAAACCTAAGGCCTGCATTAAACGAATTCCGACTCCGAGCCAGCCTGCCGAATCGCTCACTCTGGAGTCCGAGAAAATTCACGAAACAGATCCGATTCTGCATCATGTCGCTCGAGGCTCAAGTTGTCACACGACTCCTCAGAATCGATAGTGAACTCGTCCGATTTGCGTTTCTTTGAATTGGCCTTGTTCGCCTTCTTGGCCTTCTTCGCCTTCCTTGCCGACTTGGACTTCTTTGACTGCAGGCTCACCCAAACTCTGCCCCGACTGAAGTAATTCATTGGCATCGGGAATCGCCGGACATCTTTCAAAACCCAGCCCCAGACCTTCTTCCACTTCCGGTAATAGGTGCTTGGAGCCAGGTGCAACGACTCGTACTCTTCGGCCGAGTTTGTGATGTCCATCCTTGGCTATAGATTGCTGCAACAGCACCATGTCTGTTCTTAAACAGCTCTTCCACGATGCAAATCTGAAACAAGCATTTCTGTGTTTGCAAGCAGGCCACACGCGGTCGATCGTTGCAGTGCCGTGGCAGAAGCCCTTCTTACACAAGCCGATTCTCTGTCCAATTTTGCTGGTACATCGACTTCGGATCTCCATCGTTTTCTTGCCCTCGAAGATCTTCGCCATCCAGGAATAATCCTTAGCGGCAGTCTTCTTTTCACACGCGCAGTTCGCGAAAGACGAACCAACTCGAGACAAGATGCGAGTATCAGCCCAGATTGCGGCGAACCAAGCTCCGCAGCGCTATCCATGTCAGCAGCGAAGGCCACCAGCGACTACACTCAACTGAAAACTCTGAGCCCGCCAGAACTGCGACCTGTGGGGCTGAAGAAGTCTAAGCTCCAACACAGGACGTGTCTGGATAAGTCTACGACGGCACCTCCAAGCTCGAAGCGGTTCCGACAGCACGTGTCTGGATCAGTCTGCGACTACTACAGTCAAGGCAAAAATGCGGCCGCTACAGATATCCCACAGCAATGCACGACAACACGACCAATCTCAACCTGACAGAGTATGGAAGCTTACATAACGACTTCACTCCAAGCTCCAGGCGGCGCGGACGGCACATCTGTACCTGGGCCAGGGGGGATTCCGGCAACGAACTAGCTAACAGCTAATCTATCTGCGAGCGAGTGCATAGGGAAAGCAATTTTTTCCATGAGGTCGGTGGCGACTGCAACAGACCAAGCTACAACCTAATTTGCATAGCCGTCTCTGTCTTGACATCGACTAAGCTCTGTCTTGACATCGACTAAGCTCTGTCTTGACATCGACTAAGCTCTGTCTTGACATCGACTAAGCTCTGTCTTGACATTGACTAAGCTCCTCATGCGACGTCGACTTGTCGACTGAGGCTCCCCCGCCTCGAATCGAAAGCCGTCCAATCGAAAGCCGTCCTGACATCGACCGGTGCTCTTCTGGCGACATCGACTAGGGCTCATCCGCCTCGAGCTCAATCTTGAAGACCCCCTCGAGAACCTTGACCAGGAACTGCTGCTCCAGGTCTTTGGATCGGTATGCCTGCGACTGCTCTGGGTATGATTTCAAGGCGGCTTGAGTCCTGTACAAGTAGCGCTCCAAGAACTCCCCGATCGGCTCGTCAGCGACTTCGTTGATCAAGCTGTTGTTGTACTCCGCGAACCATATCGTGCACAGCTGGCACACCAACTGCCTCGGCACCTTGGGATATCGCTTCTTCATGAGCATTTCCAGCTCCGTTCGTTCGACTCGAGCCGATGCCACCACGAGCTTCTCCAGCTCACGAAGTGCGACTCCATCCAGCTCCTGTCGTTCGACTGGAGACGATGCCATGGCCGGGACCTCCAGAACCCTAAAATCGCTTGACTCGACTGACGGCTGCGACTCAAGTGCGATATAGTTGCTTCCAGTCCAAGGGTCCGTGTGTCCTGGATCAGTCTGCGCGACTACACCGTCAAGGCAGAAATGCGGCCGCTACAGATATCCCACAGCATTGCACGACAACACGACCAATCTCAACCTGACAGAGTATGGAAGCTTACATAACGACTTCACTCCAAGCTCCAGGCGGCGCTGCGACTCAATGAGCCAGTCCGGTTGTTGTTTCCAGGGGTCCGTGTGTCCTGGATCAGTCTGCGAGACTACACCGTCAAGGTAGAAATGCGGCCGCTACAGATATCCCACAGCATTGCACGACAACACGACCAATCTCAACCTGACAGAGTATGGAAGCTTACATAACGACTTCACTCCAAGCTCCAGGCGGCGCTGCGACTCAATGAGCCAGTCCGGTTGTTGTTTCCAGGGGTCCGTGTGTCCTGGATCAGTCTGCGAGACTACACCGTCAAGGTAGAAATGCGGCCGCTACAGATATCCCACAGCATTGCACGACAACACGACCAATCTCAACCTGACAGAGTATGGAAGCTTACATAACGACTTCACTCCAAGCTCCAGGCGGCGCTGCGACTCAATGAGCCAGGCCGGTTGTTGTTTCCAGGGGTCCGTGTGTCCTGGATCAGTCTGCGACTACACCGTCAAGGCAGAAATGCGGCCGCTACAGATATCCCACAGCAATGCACGACAACACGACCAATCTCAACCTGACAGAGTGTGGAAGCTTACATAACTTCACTCCAAGCTCCAGGCGGCGAGGACGGCACATCTGTACCTGTGCCAGGGCGGCTCAGGCAACGAACTCTTCGTGACGGAATGATCATGTAAAAAGGCTTGACAGACGCAAGCACTGGTGAGTAGTTCAAGTTTGATGCGCAATTTTATGTCCGTTTCGCGACTTGTCCCCGTTGCCCCGGCGTGGACTGAATTTGCAGTCACACGAATCTTCGACGAGCCACCCGAATCTTCGACTCAAATGTCCAGCATCTCCATCCAACTGCTGGAATTGGCTTTGAGCACAAACCTGTGTAACATTTCTCAGAAAACCATAATCGGAGCACCCTCATCTCATGTGCGCACGAAGATTCGACTTCAGTCGATGACAAAGAAAAGCCCTTTGGACTCATGCTTTGAAACCCCTGCTCACCCCTCCTCAGTCGTCGACCACAGCTGCTCTCGTTGCTGCCTCCACTCGCGACCATCTTTCGACTGAAGCCAGTCCTTCAATCTCGCTGCCGCTGTCGACTTCGTTTGCGGCTTGCCTGTGTAGAGTCTGACATCTAACCTACAATGGACCTACAAGCCAGAGAGTTGCCTTCAATATTCCACTCATGCACACAGTACATGACCCTTCCAAACACAGACACACCCGAAGCATTTATGCAATTTAGCCCTGATGCGGTCTGTGCTCAGAAAAGGCAGCGGGCCAAGCCGATCACCACCCGCCATCGCCCTTGTCAATGCCCGAACAGTGGCCTCATTCCACTCGACTGGTTTGTGCTGTCGCCTTCGCAATTGCATGTCGTGCGGGAGTGCTTCTCGGCAGACACGAAAAACAAGGTCGGGGTCATCCGCAGAACGGCCGGTGGCTTGAATGCTAGCTTGACTCCTGCGCTTTCGACTCTCCAGAGCAAAGGAAGTCCCCTGTTGGAGGCCCAGTCCCTCACGCCTCTGCCGAGCGCGTTGCTTCAACAGGGTTGTCTTGCCAAGGTCGTCACGAAGGACATGGCTTACTGCCTCGACTAATGCTCTGTCTCGCGTGGCACCCAACATCTTGACTTGACCGTCTCGCATGTGAAGTCGATCAACGACTCTGACAGGGTGGATTGCTGCTTCTGCATTGAAAATCGAGTGCATCTGGCTGCCGACTCGCTCGCAATAGCTCCTCGGTCTGCGTACGGTGTGGCGTAAGCCGGCCCAGACCCCTAATAAAAACGTGCACAATGTGCCACAAAACGAGGAAAATCATTCAATGAAAGGCCGCAGATACCTTAATAATTAAACTAGTGTCGAGACAGTTCGGCAGTCAATCCTTCAGCCCTAGACCATCCCATTTTCATCGCTCCACTACTGACAAAACATGGACCAAAACAGACATAGCAATCCCAGCGACTCAGCCGCCGAGTGCGCTCGACTGTGATGGTGTATGAAGCACGCATGCCAGGAATGCAGGTAGCCATAATTGTCAACATCGCGTGGAGCATGCAAGTACGACTCCATGTCCACCGACGCAGACACCTTTGACAGATCCAATCTCGTCCTGTAAGCATGAACTCGGACAAGTTTGCCACCAAAGGGAGAATGCCTTCGTATGGACGCAAAACTCCCCGCTTGTCCACGGAACTGGCCAGCAAGACGTACCCAGCCACGATTCGACTTGTGAAAACCCACTGCCCTCAACGACTCGACTGCAAGGGGCACTGTTCGGCTGCTGGGACCGTGCAGAAACTCTGAGACGACTGAGCTCACACATGCTCGTGCAGCAGCGCCTGCACCCAAGCGCTTCCATTCAGGGTCCAGGGCCCTCGCGACTGTGCCTGACGTTCGCACTGGCTGCACATCACAGCCTGTCGCCACAAACCACCCATACCTGTCGCAGACTGCAGCATCGGTCACGTTCAGCAGAAGTGCGACATACTGCATGACGTGATACTCCTCTTGCCTCCATTGCCTCTCCACATAGTCAAAATCTGGCCAGGTCATGCGCGACCTGATCGGCAAGAACTTCTGGAAGAGATAGCGGAAAGCATCGACATGGGCTGCAGCAGGCCCTGAATTCTCCAAGATCTCATCCCATGCCCAAGCCTTGACTATGCAGCCACGGAGCTGGGAAACTTCAGGTCTCAATCCGACTGCGCCCCAGTAGTCAGCATACTCAGCCAGCAGAGATGTAATCAATTTCGACATCGACAACAGCGCTGAAGAAAGGCACTTGTGCAAATGTGGGTCTGCTGGGCTCACCACACATTTGGGACCCAGGGCAGCTCCAGACTTGTAAAGATTTTTGACTCCTTGCCTCAGTGTTCCATCTAATTAATTTACTGATGTTAACGGTTCTGGACTCAATGCACATGGGCTCTTTCATCACTTGGAAAAAAATTCTGCAACCCTTGCCCAACCGAGCCACATACCAGCTGGCGTTGCGCAAATCGACTGCACCATGTACTTCGGCATCACCCATGCCAGGTCTTGCGAGGTAGGGGCAGGCTTCTCGGTGCAGCGAGCCACCCAGCGAGGCACTTTCAGCCTTCGCACTCTGTTCCCGACTGTTTTTCTGAACTGGCATGTGCGACTTTCGTTCTTGATTTTATATGACCAGCATTGGCACTTCGGCGACAAGACACGCTGTCCAGCTGTGGAATCGACTGGAATTTGCATTCCTGAACTTCTGGCATAAGCAATTGCACTAGTAGCAGCCAATCTATTACGATTTTTCAACAGCAGGCGGCGACGCAGGACAGGACCACAGCACATAGCCACTTCAAAAGGAGGACCCAAGTAGACCCAAGTTACTCCGACGCTAATTAATTATGATGGAAAACAAACTGACGGAGAACATCTTGCCAAATCTACACATGCTGCTGCATCCATCAAACTCATGCGCGGTCAGCAAGCCAGGCAGACCACCCAAGAATTTGGGCCAACTGCGGCCAAGTGGAGACAAGAGTTGGACAGTCAGAAAGCATCGCATCTCCTGGGACGGCAACGTTTTTGAATCTTCTGGCGCTAGGGAGTAGGTTTCGACCGTTTAGGATTTCAGATTCAGGGATTTCTCTTTACTTTTCGCCGTTACGGCTAGGACCGGCTGGGGTTTCAATCCAGCGGACATCTGACTCCGAAGCCCAAGTGTCGTGATGGCTCACGTAGCTCTTCAACAGCAGGCACACCGTCGTCAGGCGACTCAACTGCCGAACCTGATCAACGCCACGAACCAACTTGGTGTGACTTTCCTTCAATGTCGACTCCACCGCCCACATATCCATGCAGCCACTTTGCAGGACCTGCCCACGACCGTACAGAACTCGACTGTGCAGATCATCGAACAGAAGCATATATGCAACGAAATCGACTGCAGCAATTCGCCGACTGACCTCCAGCAGTTTCGCGACTGACTGTGAGCCGAAGCCAGCACGCGCAAGCTCAAACCGACTGTGAAGAGCAGCATGGATTGCGCGATAGTTGATTAGCAAGCTGCCCGGGGCCCCTGTAAGGGAAACAGCGCATCGAGTAGAGCTCAAAGACGGCATGCTGTACGACTTGCAGCCAACAAAACCCGCAGCTGAACGAAGCACGACTTTGCCGACTCCTGACTGTCATCGTGTCAGCGGTTCAGTCACAACTCAGGCAACCTATACCCCGAAGTTTAGTCCTGGCCCCGGCCCAAACCCCAAGCCTGAAGCCTCCCACCTGCAACGTCGAACTCTTACCCACCGAATAAAGGGCATGTAATACCGCTCGTCATGCATCATGCATAATGACATAATGCCGTAGGAGCTCCGATGCCGAAAAGGGATGTCGTGGCTGCTGCCACGTCGAAGAGCTCCTGGGTGAGAGCGTGCTCGCGGAAAGACCTTTTCCGACATATCTCCTCTCTGTGAAAAGCATCCCATTCCAGAAAGGACTCCGGGTCCGAACCGCGGATCAAACCTGGACACAGCGCTGCTTGCAAACACCCCGCTCATGTTGTGGGCCAAGTCCTAAACAGTTCGCTAAACTGAAGCAAAAGCAAGGACAAGTCATGCCCAAACTAAAACCAAGGGACTCCACAAATGCTTTGCAGCCTTTGTCGACTTGTGACGTGCCTGATCCCCTCCAGCCACCATTGCTCCGTCGCCTCCTATGGCTGCCAGGCGACGTGCGGCAGTCTGTCGATTCAGCATGCTTGGGTGCGACTCCAGCGCTAATAAAGCCTGAGCTGCAACCTGCTCTCCAGTGTGGTTGCCACCAACTGACGGTGCACCCAGAAGCCTTGTGTGCAACATTCCCGTTGTCGGTGAGACAAAGGAGATGCCAGTGACAACTAGGCTTTCGTGACGACTGAAGGAACTCCTCCCAAGCGATACGATGTCGAATATCAAGGAAAAGTGCGACTTGATGCCGATCCCTGGCAACGGGGCCGAGAGATCACCTGCGTCGACTTCTTTCACGTAAGCTGCAGCCAGGTGCTCAACGAGCTGGAAGAACTGTGTCGAATGCAACTTCTCCCCAACGCCAAACCCATGGTCTTGCAGACGACAAAGGCGACGGAGAAGGCTCTCGTCCGAGTTGCTCTCCGCCGCATTGGCCAACACCTCTGTCACCAAGAGCTGCATACTGACCGACTCACTTTGTGAATGACAGATTGATGCTTTGGCAGCCTCTTCTGTATTGCACACGGGCTCCGACTCCTTGATCTGCCAACCTGCCCTCCGAAGCTTCGACACGACTCCACGGATTGAGTTGCCAGCGACTCGGGTGAGTTGGCCAGCCACGTCTGCTGCCAAGCTTTTGGCCTTCTTGAAAGAAGTGGGTCTGCAACCTCGACTGATCTCTTGCAGCAAGGCTCGAGGAAGCCTTCGCAATGCGAAAAACACGTTACACAGTATCATCTGTGTCTGCGTCTGAAAGTTGCCAGCACCCTGCCCACGACCGAGCTGTTTGCCTAGCTCCTTTCCCGGCCTCCAACAGGAAGATGCTGAGTCTGGGTTGCCTTCGTCAATCATCAAGACAATGTTCTCGGCCTCCGACTGCGCCAGCTCTTCTCCATCTGGCTTCATCGGCTCAAAGAACATCTCCGACTCATCATCAGAAGAAAAGTCTGCCAGCTTCTCCCTATCAGGTTCGTCGAGGTCCAGCAGCTTGATGCCATCACCGCTGTCCAGATCCGGCAAATCGGTCATGGTCATGATGTCTTCGACTAGATAACCGGACGGATGTATGATGGGAAGGGTGTCCTTGGGTCCAAGGGTTCGTGGCGCTTACCGCAATTGAAAGCAGGGGGCAGGACACTGGTGCAATGACCCCCCCGACTCACTGACAAGAAAGCCTAGCAGAGATATGGTCGGCGACTAGGAAAGAGCCAAAATTGCGACTTGAAACGCAAGTGTGTCTAACACCATGTCCCATCAGCAATGGCTGGACTTTACCGGCAAAGAAAGGTCGAACCCAGGCTCTGCGTCGGTGCTACTGCAGAGGACATATCAGCAGGGGAGTTGCAACTTGGCTTGGGCATTGAATTCAGAAGTGTTGATAAGGACCCACAATCTCCCGGCGCACTGGATGTTGGCCTTGGGCAGCCACAATCACTCGGGTCGCCGCAACACCTGGCCGGGAAATGTTCAAAAGGGGGCAGCAATCTGGCGTGGCAGCAATCATAGAAACATGTCTTCAATCACGCTCGCTGTCAGCAGCAATCATTGGACGGTCCCACATCGATCAAATGCTGGTTTTTGTATGCTAGCCGCGTTGATATCGCATGCTGCTTCTGTCGTCACCATTCAGCGGAGCTAAGTTACGTGCAGCAGCCCACAGGGCTCCAGGGCGGGTGACATGCCCAACACACGACTTGCTTGCTACTTGCACGTATAAGTCCGACATTCCTCTTGCAGGCTTCAAACAGTCGACCAGGAAATCGTAAAGACCCAAGCGTTGGCTATAGTTGGGGTGCCCTCCATCCTCCTCCAGAAAAAGTGCTGGCACTGTGTGCTCTAAGTTAAACTTTAGCATTGTAGGGAGTCAGGGGTTCCGGACTGAGACCTGGAATAACTCAAACCCATAAAGACCGCGCACTACCCGTGATGGTAAGATAGACAGATGGCTACAACTATACGGCTATAAACGTGAATCCACTATGTTAACAACAGTATGCTGCAAGACACGCATGTTACACACAAGCCGTACAACAAACGAGAATCCTGGTCAACAAAAACCACCTATAATAAGTGCACAACACGCCCTCCAACAAATGCCTTTGCATGTTGTGCGTCAAGTTTACGTCGCGACCTGGCCTCCTTCTTTCGTAGAGAGTGCGGCAACAACGTGCAACAAATGCTCGACAAACACAAACAATGAACGGATCCTGTCTGCAGCATTGTTCCGCGACACCCCACCTGTGCAGAGTCATCATTCGTCCTTACAAGCGTAGAATCCTGAGGCCCCATGAAGAATGAGACTCACAAACACCCTGCTCCCTAATTTAGCCAACCATGGACTGGTTTCGTAACCTCGAATGCCGACATGCAAACCGGCCCTCCGAAGCAACCCTAAACAACCCCAAGCAGCCCGGGACCCCTCCAAGCCAGTGTGAACCTTCAACCGGGCTGAAGACAACCACGCCAAGATGCAGCTCCTTGTGCCTTCACTTGTGATCGACATTTACAATTATTTCTTGCTAGAGGTTCACATGCACTCAACTCCATGACACACGACTCATGCCAAGCTCAAGCTCTGTGATAGGCCAACCGGCCAATCACAAAGGACCTCCCCATCGCCAGCCAACTCATCCCGGACATTATGCCAAGACCATACCCAGCAAAGCCCCCTTTCGGGAAGCCTGCCAGGCAGGTCGAGGCTTTTGCAGGAGTCGGTGCCAGTGGACGCATTAGGCGCATGTGCCCCACTGTCATACCTCCGGGCCTAGATCGTTAAAACGATCATCGGCCACGTCGGCGTGGCCTTAACACCGCGGGAATGGAACCACGCCTGCAGGCGGTCAACCCTGCATGTGAAATTTTCCACACCCCCCTCGGGGGCTCGGTTCCGCTGGCTCGCATTCATGTGGCAACCAGCAAGTCATGCCACAACACAAGACAAGCGGCAACGGGAACACAACGCAATCTCAAGCGAGTCAATCGATCACAAGACAAGAGGCCTCCCATGTAATATGGACAGATGCGGGACTCGCCCCACCGCCACATCCACTCCCTGTACTCCATGGTGTCCTTCCCAGAACCCAGCAGGCACATTGGCACATTGCCCTGCTGTCGTCTGCTTCCCAAGGCTGGAGCATGTTGGCCAAAAGCTCTGTCAGACACCATGGTTCCAAGAGTGTGAGCTCCAAACCCGGCCAACGGTTTGAAGGCAAGCCCGATGTTTTTTTGGGTTGCCTTGCAGGCTTGCCTCTTGGTAGAGCCAAAACTGAAACGAAGAACAAGCCAAAAGCGACCGCGCAAGACGCCATGCTGTGTCGAAACGAAGGCCAAGGTCCAGAGGCAGAGCCCAAACAAAGGCCTGCACCCGTGCATAGTGTAGAATCAGAACCGCGACCCTGCTCCCTAACTTACCCGTACCGAATGAGTGATCCATAGTGCAATGGACTGGCCTAGTAACCAAAAACTCCACACAATCCAACCCGTGACCCTGAACAACCCAAATAAAGGCCTGCACCCGTGCATAGTGTAGAATCAGAACCGCGACCCTGCTCCCTAACTTACCCGAACCGAATGAGTGATCCATAGTGCGATGGACTGGTCTAGTAACCAAAAACTCCACACAATCCAACCCGTAACCCTGAACAACCCAAATAAAGGCCTGCACCCGTGCATGGTGTAGAATCAGAACCGCGACCCTGCTCCCTACCTTACCCGTACCGAATGAGTGATCCATAGTGCAATGGACTGGCCTAGTAACCAAAACCTCCACACAATCCAACCCGTAACCCTGAACAACCCAAATAAAGGCCTGCACCCGTGCATAGTGTAGAATCAGAACCGCGACCCTGCTCCCTAACTTACCCGAACCGAATGAGTGATTCATAGTGCAATGGACTGGCCTAGTAACCAAAAACTCCTACACATAAATCGCCCTTCCGAAAGACCCAAACCAGCCCGGGACACCCCTAAGCAGGCACGAACAATCTCTAACCTTTCAAACGAACCAGCCTGCACCCCTGCACGGTGCACCAGATGCGACGAACTTTGTGCTTCACCTTGGCCACGCGACAGACTGTTTCCGACAGGCCAGTTTTGTTCGGCAGGCCGGTATCTCGAAAAGAAGCAGGCCCAACCGTCTAATGGAACGCCAGCAACATTGTGGTTGGGCCGGGACAGTCGAATAGTCTCACTTGTAGGAAAGTCGCTCATCTTGTATGAAAGTCGTTATGCTCGTGTTTGCTAGGCGGACTGCACCGGATCTCTTTCCATGGCGACCTCGTCTGATGTTAGTGGGCTTCAGCAAGCAATCCTAAAATCCCTCTGATGGCTAAAACGGGGGGACTGACTCCCCCTCTCAAACAAAAACTCTGCAGTTGTTTGTAGACTACTGAATGGTTTTCCCCTCTCTCTCTCTCTCTCTCTCTCTCTCTCTCTCTCTCTCTCTCTCTCTCTACTGTTACATTCGGAAGCATCTTGCTGCTGATTCAGCTTCTGCTGCGGCCTTTTTCTCGCTCTTGGTCCACTGAAAGAGAAACTCGCTCAGCCTCGCAGACACCTTCCACAACCACATGCCTCCTGCGCAAGTCACCGAAGACGGTGCGCAGTTGTTGCGACTTCAGGCAGACTTACTGGTTTGAAAGGCAGCACAATGTACAAGCCAGTGCAAGTCCGCAGTTCGCTACGTGAAAACTGTTGCCGAGCCGGCCTGCTTCACCTGGCTCTCCAGCTGCTGTCAATTCATCTACTGGCATGCCCTCGACTTCGGCTATCTGCGGCGATACAGGGAAACCCATCATTGCGGCCTTCTCCACAGACGTCACCCATCGCTTCCGACTCGGCCACCAGTGCAAGCCTGAACCATGCCTGAGCGTTGGAAATTGCCCGCGTCTCACGCACCAAGATCGCTTCGTTGGATCCTGGGACAAATCGATTAAGCATTCGGGGTCCGACTCGGCGTTAGAGCCATACTTGTCCTGCCACAACTTCACGGCTTGGTCGAGCCGATGCGACTGCGCCGTGGTCAGCCTGCTTCAGACAATCTCCGCTTTTAAACGTCCCAGTCCAAACCAACCGTCTTACAAGTCTCACAAAGTCAATGCAAAGGCTTGGTCAAGCAAGTCAAGAAGCAAATACATCCAATCTTTTGAGGGGCAACCAATTGTTGGCAGTTTCTGACGTCTGCGAGCCAAGTTCTCCTCTCCGAGCAGCACTTCCGCAGTGGCCAGGCACCTGTGCGGACTGCCCGTGCCATGTAAAACCAAACCGTACAATTTAGTCACATAGCGGCCACCAGCAAGCGAGTAATCACAAGGAGCATTATAGAAGGAAAGCTTACGTACCCTACGCAACACACAAACGGAAGCTGTTGATACCAGGAGTCTCTACCCAAGTCCACGACTTTGGCTTCGGCAAGGTCGCTGCCAACTTCTCGACTAGGGACTCATATGTCTGCTTCACATCTCTGGTCAAGCGCATGTCCATGCGAATGCACACATTGTAGACACGAGGTCGACAGATGAACGAAAACCCAGCATCTGCCTTGCTTGTCTTGCTATTAAATGAAGGGCACAGCACGACCGACCAATATCTGATACATCACAAGAGATGCTGATTTTTATGACCAAACAGCCTAATCAACCAAGATTCCGGAACGCAGTCAAGGCGGAAGACCCGGTGGCGCGGAAGATTCTCGCTCAGGATTTGCTCGTCGAACCCCACGACGTTCCTCACTTGGTTGCAGCTGCCAAAGTCGGGGTCTATGTTGATTCGGAAGATGACACTTGGACTGGAACAGATACAATGCAACGAAAAGCCATCTTACAAATTACAAAATGCTGCTACATGAATCCTGTCGACTCGTGGATGAGTACAGGAGTTCTAAGGCACGTATGCAGGTGAGTCCACGCGACCAAATATTGAATCCGCGTGTCCAATCGCCCATGCCTGGTTCCAACGCGACACAGGTTGCATTCGTTAAGGGCACCATCAAAAAATTGTTGCTTACGATGGCCGGGCCTGCTCCCGAAGCGAGAGAACGGCGGACACGGACTCCCGGCGACTTCCAGCAGAGAAGCCGGCCGACTCTGCGCACAGCACGGGCAGGTCGTGGTCACGCTCAGAGCTGACACCTTTTCTTTCAACTCTTCAAAAGAGCTCCATGTACCCACTGTGCTGGGCACAAAATTGCTCATAATGTCGTCGATAATGTGCAACCTCTCAGACCGACTCCGCAGAATGCGCTGACAGCTCTTCGACTTGTCGCACGCACTGACGCTGGCCCAAGCTCCGGTCAAAAGTTGTGCACCTTTCGCCGCCAGCAAATAAGCCTCAGCGGGACAACACTGTTTCAGTGCCGACCGAGAACTCATGCAAACACGAGCTTTGCAAAGTCATTTCATGCACTGCTCCTCGTCAGCAGCTGGCTATAGTTATGCCAACTAGACATCCAGGCACTCAGGACGCTAAAAAAACCCAAAAGACAACGCCGACCCCGTGATCCTGACACTTACATATCATGGACAGGGCTTGGATTGTTCGATCCGGCTGGAAACCATATCCCGGGACTTGCTTATGCCGTCAACCACGCCTGTGCGACTTCCAGCGTGCCCAGTCCCGAAAAGCTGCTCGACATTGTGATATCCTTGCAAAACCACGATTCCTGCAGCTCGTCTCGTCCCAATAGCTCTAACAAGCCCTCCACGGCAGCAGATGCCCAGCCAAAGCAGGCAGGAAGACCTGGTGAGGCAGGACTGCGACTCGAACTCAGTGAGGTGGGAAGACGACTCGGTACTTCATCTGTCTTCTTGAACTCAGGCAGCTCATGTGGAGAAAACTGCAACAGCACCTCCGTCTCCGACATTCTATTTTCTTCTGGCCCGGTCTCACAGTCCATCTCTTCATCCTGCAACAGCAGCTCGATGTCGCTGCTATCCTCCATGCCGAAAAGCTGTCACGCAGCAACCCTCCCAAATCAACACGATTGCGGTCGCATCCACTCAGCAAACCTGAATGCTCGATCGTTGAGTGGTTTGCACAATCATGCTGAGGATCCTTTCAGTCTACGGGTGGCTGCCTGTACATTTCATAGCCTGCCAAAAGCATGAAAAACCGATCAGCTTCACAGAATGGGGAAGTTAGGCTTAGAACTAAGAGAAACCACGACTTGCGACATCTGAAACCGACTTTTGGGCCGAAAATGATCTTTGAGGGCCTACGGCAATCTCTCAAACTTGACGAGCTTAGCTGACACACCGTGCAAGTTTCAGGATCTGACGCGGAAGTGCTCATCATGCACAGCTGTAGGTAGTAGGCCAAAACACTCAAGGCTTTTGATTCTTGGCCTCCGGCCGGGCACAAGCACTCAGCGGGGAAGAGCCACTCAGCCTCAGTCGTAGGTTTCCAGCCACACCGGCCAAAATGAAAACAATCGAGCAAGTCCTCACTGGAATAGGTTCATGTTTTGCGGCTTTGCATTTCGCCCGGATAGTTACCGGCTCCGGAGAACTTCGGTAAGTCTGGCGACGACTAACAGAAAGTCACTGACCGCTCGCGCACCACATGGTACAAAGCTGGGCCGACCAACTTCTTGGGCATCCTCTTCGGTTCGACTCTTCGCGATCATGAGCTGCTCCGATGGAACAACTGGTGACTAGGCGACTTGAAAGGTATCACTTATGGCATCTGCTAACTTCGCAGTCTCAAACACGCTCGGGATCAATCATCGCTGTGCTACAGGCTGAATCAGCGACTGCTTAAAAGTCCGCATCTTCGACTTCGACTGGAGCTTTGATCGATCGGAATCCGCAGCTTCAGCCGCTGACGACTAGCAATACTGGGAAGGTCCCATTTACTATCGCATGTGATGTAGACAGAATCAATTAATAGCACGAAGTTTTTTTATCGCTGTGTGCTAGACGCCGACTGGCCGACTGCCGCACCCTGCGACTTCGACTGGAGCTCGCACTCAAAACTGCCACACAATCGACGTCGGCACATCGGAATCCGTCTACATCAGCAGGTCCTGGAGATGCGGCTGGACAATTGCAAAAGCGGCAGCCACTGATCAGCTCAAAATTGCGAATAAAAGCCACTCCAGAGACTCCATATCAGCCTGCACGACTGTAGTACAACTACTAGTACTAGTGGTAGTAGTAGTAGTAGTAGTAGTAGTAGTAGTAGTAGTAGTAGTAGTAGTAGTAGTAGTAGTAGTAGTAGTAGTAGTGGTAGTAGTAGTAGTAGTAGTAGTAGTAGTAGTAGTAGTAGTAGTAGGAGCAGCAGTAGTAGTAGGCTTCGTCGTCCTTGTTGTAGTCGAAGCGGTAAGAGACCTACTAAGGCGGTCGTCGTCGTCCTTGTCGTAGTCGTCGTTGTATTGCCGTTATAATTCATGCAAAAGTTATATGCTGGATGTGACGATTTGGGGCCGTTATAACTATATACGAATCGGATCCTCCTAGATCGCGATTATAAGTGCCGTGTGGCAGCTATAACTGAGCTGCGAGGCCCACCCGAAGAACCCACGTAGACCACCCGAAAACCCTGCGCATGTTTGTGTCCACCAAAATCAGAAAACAACCCTCCGTGCATTTATTTTTGCTTCCCCCGGCATCAGAGGCTTGTCTGCGATCGAGGCGAGGGCATGCCACAACAAGTCTGCAGCACTAGCAGAGTCGCAGTCGCAGCCCAGCAGGTATAGACAAAGCACTGATTTCAGCAGGGTTTGTGTCTCCACCTGCTGCCAGCAGCAAAAAATCTGGAGCCTGTCTGTTGTTTTGACCCTCCCCCCTCTACAGCAACCCCACCCTTACACCCCGCAGCAGGTATCAACTTTGCAACATAGACCTTCACTCCCTCTGGCCTCTGGGTGCCTAGTTCTGCCAGGGCTGAAGGGGGTGAACAGTGCTTAGCAAGGTTTCTACTGCTTGTCGAAAAATGTTACTATTAACATGTTTTAAAGTATGAACAAGCCTGTGCTGAGCTTTCCAAGCGCTTTCATTGTTCTATATAGAAGGGTGCTACTGGTGTTCAAACTGACCATCATGCGTTCTATATCCCATTCCCATCCAAAGCTGCAATTGTTGTTGTTGTTGTTGCAGCTGCTGATGCTGTTGTCGTTCTTGGTGTTGCTAATGTTGTTGCTGTTGCAGTTGCAGTTGTGGTATTCGTGGTTGTAGTTGCAGCGTTAGTTGTACTTTTAGTAGATTTCGTAGGTTTAGAAGTAGTAGTAGTCGTCGTCGTAGTAGAAGTAGTAGCCAACAGGAGCCTCTGTGATCCGCTCATGGTCCAAACATGCCAAAAGTCAACGCAGCCATGTCACAAGAACGAGCGGCCTCCCTTCTTTGTTCGGACTGTCTGGAGTCTGGCCTGGCCGAACCAGCAAACCAGTTTTGCCCCAGCACGGCGCATTAGCCCATATGCCCGGCTGTCATCTACCCCCCTGCCGTGGGGTAGGTTGGCCTCAAGGCAAAGCCGAACGCCTCACACCCGGCCAATGGTGTGGGGAGCAACCCAGATGATGGGGCAGGGGTTGACTCCTCAGGTAAGGCAACCTCGACTGGCACTCAAGCAGAGCAATCATGAATCATGACAATATTCAAGTCAAGCAAGAATGGATCACAGGAGCTCCTGTTGCCTAGTAGTAGTACTAGTAGTGGTCGTGGTCGTGGCAGTGGCAGTTGGGAGCAGTAGTAGCAGCAATATTAGTAGCATTGTTACTTCGTAATAGTAGCAGTACTAGTTGTTGTTGCTGGGGATGGCGGTGTTGTACTTCTAGTTGTCATCCGAAGCTGCAGCTGCTGTTGTTGTCGTTGTCGCTGATGTTGCTGATGGTGTTGCTGCAATTCGTCGTTGTAGTTGCAGTGTTGATTGTAGGTTCAGTAGATCTCGCAGGTTTAGTAGTAGTAGTAGTAGTAGTAGTAGTAGTAGTAGTAGTAGTAGTAGTAGTAGTAGTAGTAGTAGTTGCAGTAGTAGTAGTAGTAGTAGTAGTAGTAGTAGTAGTAGTAGTAGTAGTAGCTAGTAGTAGTAGTAGCTAGTAGTAGTAGTAGTAGTAATAGTAGTAGTAGTAGTAGTAGTAGTAGTAGTAGTAGTAGTAGTAGTAGTAGTAGTAGAGTAGTAGTAGTAGGAGTAGTAGTAGTAGTAGCAGTAGTCGTAGCAGTAGTAGTAGTAGTAGTATTAGTAGAGTAGTAGTAGTACTAGTAGTAGTAGTAGTAGTAGTAGTAGTAGTAGTAGTAGTTGTAGTAGTAGTAGTAGTGTTCTAGTTGCAGTAGTCAGTTGTAATTGTGCTAGATGTGGTTATCGTAGTTGTTGTTTTAGCTGTACTAGTCAGCAGGACTAGTAGTAGTAGTAGTAGTAGTAGTAGTAGTAGTAGTAGTAGTAGTAGTAGTAGTAGTAGTAGTAGTAGTAGTAGTAGTAGTAGTGATAGTAGTAGTAGCAATAGTAGTAGTAGTCGTAGTAGTAGCAGTATCCCATGCGACCACAGTTATAACCACGTTTATACATGCTATTATGAGCACAGCGGCCGCCTCAGTAATATTACACAACCTCAGAGACTTCTAGTCGCGACTTACAGCTGCTTCGAGTCTCCGACCGGCACGTCAACCTGTTTAGAGTTGACTAGGACCATTTTGGATGGGGCGAGAAAGTCCCCGGTTTTCACCTCGCACTGCCAGACCACGGCAGACGTCGAGGACTCAGAGCACGCGAGAGTCACATCGGCCGCCATCTTGCCGAGCTCCCCGACCTGAGTCTATGTGCAATCGACCATAGGTCCCGGATTTGCTACTGGCTGGTGTAGGAAATGCAAGCGGCAATCCGCAAACTGAGTTTGTCCGAGCGGCGTACATCTGGGAATTCGGCCTTTTCGGCTCCAGCCTGTCGAGAATGCCTTGTGCCGCGAACTCTTTGTACCCGTACACACCTTTGCAGTCTTTCGTCTTCACAGCGTTGGGCAGGGGGACAAGCTTGTCATCAATCATGACCTCAGTCAGTAGCATAACATCAGGCGATAATTTGTTAAGACACGCAGAGACCTCATGCTAACATTTTCGAGTTGAGTGAGCACATCTTTGTGCCTGCGACTGCATCGTCATACTGTACTTCACGGCGTCCACTGGAATCGACTTGTCCGACCTAAGCTTTTGCGTCGCCGGGAGATATAGAAGTTATGACCAGGTTGCAGACGTTTCAAGAAGTTACAAAAAGCTATGGTCTGTAAGTTCGGAAAAACACTTGAACGTCACACGAAACCCAGGGAATCCACAACGACAGAAAAAAAAACAAACCAAGGACAACGACACATTTTATTGAGCCAACCAACCTCCCAACCCACCCACTCACCCACCCAGCCAGCTAGTCAGGATTCGGGTGTGGGTGGGCGCACATCCGTGACCCAATGCCCTGTTTGGCAAGCCCTTTTAGTTCACTTATTCGCTTACTCAGGTTCCCACTCTTAGTCTCTAAACCCCAAAACTTTTACCCCCAACAACCTAAACCCTAAAGCACCCAAACCCTTAGAATTGTGTCCGAAGCTGTGTTGCTGAGTGCCTCCTTACCAATCTCGCCTAGTGGGATAAAAGAGAGGAGCCGGACAGAAGATGACCATCCACAAACAACCAAACAAAACACTAACAAATCATATGTATATATATATATACAAATAATTATTTATGTATATAAACAGTTATAGGCATGGACATAGACA